CGGTGAAGACAAAGATTCGGAGGCGACAGATTCAGAAATTCATCGAAAAGGTTTGGATTAATCAAATTCCAATTAAATGCCTTACCGGAAATTACGATTTTCTGATCGGAATTTGCGGTTTTGTTAGATCATAATCGACTGCCGATTCTTTACATTATTCGCCGTCGCCGGATCTTTACTGGGTTCGATTCTATGTTTCCTTGAGGTGAACGCCGCTGAATTCTTCTAGTTTTCATTTAGTTTCTCATTCAAACTTGGATCTTTTTTCAATGCTCTGTTTTTAAATTTTCAGGGGAGCTTTATTGTTGCAGAGTCATATCTGCAGTACTTTAATGGCGTTTCACGGAGGTCCGACGAGAGTCATGCGGTGGAGCTTCTAATTGAATCATTAGGTGAGTTTTGTTCAGAATTTCAAACGATATTTACTTTCTATGAATTTATTTGTTTACATAACTGTTCGACAGACATGTTCTTGGTCGGAACTGCTCTGGTTGTTTTCGGTGTCGGATTGTTCGCGATGTTCGTCGGATCGGAGAAGATGACGGAAAAGAACCCGCGGTGGGTCTCTGGGTCGAACTTGTTTGGTCTGTTCTACATGAAGGTACAAAAACAGATACGGTTAGATGAACACGATTCTCCATAATGATATGATATTGTCTACGTTGAGCATAAACTCTCATTCTCTAAATTAGCCGCTGTGGGACTTTCATCATTCAACACCTTCCCTCGAACAAAGTACGCCTCTCCTTAATCGAGCCTCGAGTCCTTTGGAGTCTTGTCATTTTTTACTATGCCTTCGAGGAGGGTTGACTTCTTTTCTTTTGGAGTCATTTGTTCGATATTTGATGATTTACCAATCTATTGCGCGCGACTAAGTTTCGAGCATGATTCTGATGCCATGTTAGATGAACATAACTCTCTACAATGGTATGATATTGTCCACTTTGAGCAAAAGCTCTCGTGACTTTGTTTTGGGCTTTCTCAAAATGGCTCAAACCAATAGAGAGAGTATTATCTCATTATAAATCCATGATCATTTCCTAAATTAGCAATGTGGGACTTTTATCATCAAACAGAAACAAAAAGAAAAGCAGACACGGACCGATTTGGTCTGAATTGAAGCTTTGTTTATGATTCTAGCTTTGATTGTGTTGTTTTTTTCAGAACATTCCGACATGGGTGGAAATGGAATCCGTGTCGGAGGCAAAATCGAAGATCGGACACGCGGTGATGATGATACTGCAAGTGGGTGTGTTGGAGAAGTTCAAGAGTATACCTTTGAGCTCCGCCACCGATCTCGCCTGTTTCGCCGCCGCCATTCTGATTTCCTCCGCCTCTATCTTCTTCCTCTCCAGACTCAACATAGGCGGCGGCGGCCGCGGCGGTTACAAGTAAACAGCCACCAGTGACGGCGCTTTGTTCCTCGTTCGCTTGCTTCCACATTATATGTATAATTTTTGTGAAGACAAAGATTACCAATTCTTTTATTATTACTAATTAATTTTTATTTATTTATTTTTCTTACATTACTCTTAAAAAAAAAAACACAATATTAATATTTTGCGTCATTAAATTAAAATTAATTGCTTGTAGAATCATGCTGTAAATTTCACTAAAATATATTTACTTATGAAAATAATTTATGATATTAATAACGATAATTATAGATAATTTTTATTATGTGTATATAATCGTAATTAGACATTTAATTACATAATAATTCATCATATTTTTAGGTATTTATCATGAATTTCTAAATGGATTGGGTTTTTAAAAAAAATATTATTTAGAAATTGGGCCGAGCAATGGATTGGACCAAAGCCCAAGACCAACTTTTGGGCCCTTCATCATGGGCCGAGCCCTTAACGAACAAGGCGTGAAATTGCTCCGACTTCGAGATCGAAACCCGAGAGATTTGATGAAAGCCTCCATAATTCTGGGGTTGAAATTTCTGGTTTAGTCTGCAGATTTGAATTTGAAGGTTTGGTTGAAGACGAATTGAGATACCGAACATTTGAAGCAGCTGCATAGACTGCGATGGAGTGTGTGGTTCAGGGCATAATCGAGACGCAGGCAAGTTTTTCTTCCTTTTGGTCTCGAATCGTTCTTCACTTCCTTCACGATCTAGTTCCGTTTTGCGTTTCTAATTAATTCTCTTATAGTTCTTCATTTTCATGTCTGTTTATCCACTCTAGAAATGTATTCGATCCTCTTTTTCGTCGTTTCCATAAGCTTTTGAATATCGATTATGACTGTGGGGTTGTGATCATCGCTGGTGTTTTTCTCTGAATTATGATTTAAAGCTTTCCTGGCGTGCGGCTGTTTCTTCGATTACTATAATCTGTTGTTTTCCACCATTTTCAATTGAGCTTACTTTTTCTCTAGGTTATTCCTTTCTTGATAGTAGCGACAAGTTTTTGTGCTTCGGACTTCTCCTGACATTTTGATTCTGCAGCACGTTGAGGCGCTTGAGATTCTTCTTCAAGGAATTTGCGGCGTTCCCAGAGAACGATTAAGGCTCCATGAAATATGCCTAAAAAGTGGACCTAACTTAGGTATCCACGTGTGTTTCTTCAGCCTATTATTACATATTTGACTTCTCAGCATGTGATGGTATTTTGATAGTTCTTCTGATTTCAAACCAGTGATTGATACTAGTGGCATTTCTCCAAGTAAATTGGAGATTGGAGATTGTGCTTCCCTTTTATATCACTGTCTAATTTCATATTCTTTTGGTATAATGTTAGGTGCTGTGGCTTCGGAGGTTCGAATCATGTGTGACCTCGAGCAGACGGAACCGTCGTGGTATAATTCGATCTCTTGCTTTAATAGGGTGTTGTTTACTTTGGAGATAATTGAATGAATGGCAACTTTGTCCATGATAAATTAGGACTGTTAAACATATTGGAGGGGCAATGAGAGGTTCAGGTGCTGAACAACTCTCTGTTCTGGTTAGGACAATGGTAGAAAGCAAAGTTAGCAAGAACGTGCTTCGTTTATTCTATGCGCTTGGCTATAAGTTAGACCATGAGCTGCTGAGAGTTGGGTTTTCTTTCCGATTCCACCGGGGCACTCATATAACAGTGACGGTTTCTTCAGTTAATAAGATGTTGAAGCTTCATTCGACCGATGAGGCTGTACCTGTAACACCTGGTATACAGCTAGTTGAAGTGACAGCCCCAGCAACTTCTGAAAACTACTCCGAAGTAGCCGGTGCAGTGTCAACGTTCTGTGAATATCTTGCACCGTAAGTACTTCTAGTACTTTTAGGATTGAAGTTGTCGTGTAAATGAACTGTTCGGTTTATGCATATTCAATAGCCTATCTCACACTGATGCTTGAATTGCTGATATGGGCTCGAGACCTTACTAAATTCGAATGCCTGCCACAAAAACACGAAAGAATTTCACAATTATCGATCGTAATCTACCTGTTGGTTGAATTGTTCTGCATTGACAAGGGCCCTCTTTTACTGGATGCTTGATCATGTTCATTCACTTGTTTCTCCTCCAAAGAAGCTTATAACTATAGGTTTGGGGTTAGAAAAATCATAATGCACAATATTTCTGTTTGCTCAAAGTAAAGATTAAATCCCAAGTTTATGTGTCGCTTATAAGCTATTGCTTGTACTTTCTTGACTGTGATAAAATCAAGCTTTCATCTTTACTTTTACAGGCTGCTGCATTTGTCAAAACCTGGAATATCCACAGGTGTTGTTCCTACAGCTGCTGCCGCTGCAGCATCTCTCCTCTCTGATGGCGCGGGAACGACAATGTAGATGGTTTGCTTTGATGTCAGCAGTTTTTCAAGCTGAACTCCGATCATTTTCTCGTCCATGAAGCTCTGCATCCGTTCCCTTTCGTGCCTTGAAGCTCCCGGTTTGGATACGATGGAAAAATAGGAAAAACGGTGTGAATGATCGATCTGCTGATGCTGCGTATCTGAATTCTGGACAAATAAGTTCAATCTAAAAACCATTTTTGCGTAGTTGGTATATAGAATGTTAGTTGTTGAAGGTAATATGCCTTGTGTTCATGTCTCAAAGATAATATGGAGGCTTATATTTATGAAGCATTTCGAATTTGGGATTTTCTGGTGTACTCTGTCTTCTACATTTTTATACAGCATTTGAATAACTCAATGGAAAATATCAATTTAGTAGCTCTAATTAAAAGGAAATTAACAAAAGAGGACGAATTTTCGGTTTATGTTTGAAAACGAGTCTCGTAAAGGCAATAAGTCAACATTTTAAGTAATTTTTACTTCAAGTCGTCACTATTGACATTAAACAGAAAAATGTCATGGTCTTGCTTGTCTAAGGTCTTATAGCTATATGCTCTTGTTGCATGTCAAAACCCTTGTCTATCTACCAAGAAAATTGTTATGTTATGGCTGCATGGTCGTTGCATGCCAAAACACTTACCTATCTGATAAAAGTGCAACCTTTACCTGTATGCTGCTCGTTACATGTCAAAACCTTTACCTGTATGTCAAAACCCTCAAAACCCTTATCTGTCTAAGAAAAAAGTGCAACCTTTACTTATATGCCTTACCTATCTGCTAAGAAAAGTGCGATTATGATGAAGAACCTTTACCTGTTTGCTAAGAAAAGTGCGATTGTGACACCGTGCCAAAACCCGCGATTGTGACCGCTACACAACCCACCATGTCTAAAAAAAATAAAAATAAAAAAATACAGAAAAATTATTAAAATTGACCGTTGAATTTCTGCGCCAAATTGATGTTTTAAATTAAGGTTTTTCCATTTAGATATAAGATGGGAGAGCTTGAAACAGTCCAACACAACACCTGTCTGCCAAGCTCAAGAACAAAAGTCAAAGAACTGGACAATAACCATCCAAATCCATGATTTTTCATTACAAATTTAAACCATTTTCTGGGTAAATAATTTAGTTTTACTTTCTAAATGATTAATTAATTATACCCCTGAGTTGTAAGGCAGTGTTCATGGAATCTTTTATCAACCACACCATTTTCTTAAGAATCTTTCAACCTTTTACCCTTCCCTCCCTCCCTCCCTCCTTCCATTTCCCCTTTCCATTCCATTGATTCATCGAAGAAATCCAAATCAATCCATCTTTTCAGTTCATCAGCGAACTTTCTCACTCTCCCTTTACATCTTCTTCCATTTCCTCTCTATTTCGCCCCTTTTTCTTCAAGTAATCATCATACATTTGCAATTTCCCCCAATATTTTCTCTCTTTCTTTCAATTTTTTGATGCCTTTTTCTCCCTTTACGCTTTCTTCTCTTAGAACCCTTTCAGGGTTTATTGTCGTCGCGTAGAGATTTAGCGGCGCCCAGTTGTTTACCCAACTGGGTTTGGATTGAATCGATCTTTGTGGGTCTGCTTCGCCGATTCAAATGTTTGGATGATGGATGAATGTGAGAATAATCTTCAACTTTGCTTTATAGCTATTCCCTATTATTTTTATGCTCTTGGCTGCTTTATTTTTGGAGTTAAACAATTATATTGCCCTCTTTTCCGCCCCTTTTGGTCTAATTCCTGAATAGATTATTCGCTTGCAAGAACAGAGGAGAGAGAGAGAGAGAGAGAGGGGTGAGAACAAATGAAACATTGGGTTCTTTGATTACGGCGGAATTCTGGGTTTGTTCTAGCGAATTGGGAGCTTTTTCTTATCTGGGTCTCTGCTGATTCCACCATTTCTGCAGGTTCTTGTTTGATTTCTGGAGGTGAGTTGCTGAACCCACTAGTTTGTTATCTTCCTATTGTGTTCATCTGAAACTTTTGGTTGGGAACTTGAATTTGAGACATATTTGAGCTGGATGAATCTCTGTCTCTCTCTCTCTATCTGCAGATGTTTTTTTTAAGGATGTTGTATTGTCTAGAATTATGTTGGGGGAAAAGGAATTAATGGCTATATCTTGATCTTGTTTGAATTTGGTGTTGGGTTAAATGGTTGTAATTGTTAGATACTCAGTGAGATCCCACAACGGTTGGGGAGGAGAACGAAGCATTCTTTATAAGGGTGTGGAAACCTCCCCTTGTAGACGCGTTTTAAAAACTTTGAGGGAAGCCCGAAAGAGAAAGTCTAAAGAGGACTGTATATGCTAGCGGTGCGCTTGAGCTGTTACATACTGTTTTTGTTATTATTATTATGTTGTTTAATCTTTAGAAAGAACTGAATCTTTCTATGAGTGTTGCTGAACCCACTAGTTTGGTCTCTTTCTATTGCGTTCATCTGAAACTGTTGGTTGGAAACTTGAATTTGAGACATATTTGAGCTGGATGAATCTCTGTCTCTCTCTATCTGCAGATGTTTTTTTAAGGATGTTGTACTGTCTTTAACTTTTCTTGTCCGGAGAAATATGTTGGGGGGAAAAGAATTAATGGCTTTATCTTGATCTTGTTTGAATTTGGTATTGGCTTAAAGGGTTGTAATTGTTAGATGACCGAAGGATACTATGTGAGATCCCACGACGGTTAGGGAGGAGAACGAAGCATTCTTTATAAGGGTGTGGAAACCTACTCCTAGTAGACGCGTTTTAAAAACCTTGAGGGAAAGCCCGAATGGGAAAGTTCAAAGAGGACAATATCTGCTAGTGGTGGGTTTGAGCGGTTGAAAATGGTATTAGAGCTAGACATTGGGCAGTGTGCCAGCGAGGACACTGGCCCCCAAGGGGGTGGATTGTGAGATCCCACGTCAGTTGGAGAAGGGAACTAAGCATTTTTTGTAAGGGTGTGAAAACCTCTCCCTAGCAAACACGTTTTAAAAACTTTGAGGGAAAGCCTAAAGAGGACAATATCTGCTAGCGGTGGGCTTAGGCTGTTACAAATGGTATTAGAGCCAAACACCGGGCAATGTACCAGCAAGGACACTGGGACCCAAGCGGATGGATTGTGAGATCCCACATCGGTTAGAGAGGGGAACAAAACATTCCTTATAAGGGTGTGGAAACCTCTCCCTAGCAGACATGTTTTAAAAACCTTGAGGGGAAGCCCGAAAGGGAAAGCTCAAAGAGGACAATATCTGCTAGCGGTGGGCGTGGGCTGTTACATACTGTTTGTTTGTTTGTTCGTGCGCTAATCTTTCGTTATGTTGTTTAAGCTTTAGAAAGAACACGAACTCATGAACTGTGAGTGTATTTATGTTCTTCCTTTCATCATTTTATTGGTTTCCCAGGTAAATTTTTTCATTGATCATGGGCAGAGATAAGCCTAGAACCATGGGCTGGCTAAGCAAGATTTTAAAAGTTGGATCTGGCCATAAAATAGCTGAAACGAATTACGAATCGAACTATGAGGAGGATCAGAATTCTCATCTGCCCTCGACTTCGGAGGTGAACGAACACGCTTACCATCATCACCTTTTTTTAGTTTCGTGATTGTTTAACCAGTTATATGTAAAACCTTATCGTTTTTTTAGCTTATACTTTCACCATTTCACGTCTGTGATGGGAACTCGAAAACAGGGTTTATGGTCGGAGAACGAGAATGACGACATCGATCGTGCGATAGCGATTTCTCTTGTGGATGATAGTCCGAAGGCAAATAATGTGATGGGTGAGTGTAGTAGCTCCATCATATGCTTTTAAAAGATATCATTGTTCATGTTCCTCTTCCTAGATTCATCCCGAATCTTTTGTTTTTGAGCTTTCCCGTGTGTTCCAATGGAGACAACACGGTTAAATCTGTTTCGTTGAGATGAATGTAAACTATTTCTGAAATTTACTTGTGTGAAGTTCGTTTTTTGATACGCCTAATAGACCGGAGAATTCAGGACGTGGTGCATGGTGTCTGTGATAAATGTAAACTATTTCTTAAATTCACCAGAAGTGGTACACATGTGGTAGGGAAAGCTTAAAGAGAACAATATCTGCTAGCGGTGAGCTTGGGCTGTTATAAATGATATTAGAGTTAGACACCGTGTAGTGTGCCAGCGAGAATGCTGGCCCCCAAAGAGGTGGATTGTGAGATCCCACATCGGTTGGAGAGGGGAACGAAACATTCCTTATAAGGGTGTGGAAACCTCTCCCTAGCAGACACGTTTTAAAACCCTTGAGGTGAAGCTCGAAAGGAAAAGCCTAAAGAGGACAATATCTGCTAGTGGTGGGTTTGGGCTATTACAAATGGTATCAGAGTCAGACACCGGACAGTGTGCCAGCAAAGACACTGGACTCCCAAGGAGGGTGGATTGTGAGATCCCACATTGGTTGTAGGGGGAAACGAAGCATTCCTTATAAGGGTGTGGAAACCTCTCCTTAGTAGACACGTTTTAAAAACCTCGAGAAGCCCGAAAGGGAAAGCCTAAAAAGAACAATATCTACTAGCGGTGGGCTTGGACTGTTACAAATGGTATCAAAGCTAGACACTGTGCCAGCGAGGACGCTGGGCCCCCAAGGGGGGGTGGATCGTGAGATCCCACATCAGTTGGATAGGGGAACGAAACATTCCTTATAAGGGTGTGAAAACCTCTCCCTAGCAGACACGTTTTAAAATCCTTGAGGTGAAGCTCGAAAGGAAAAGCCTAAAGATGACAATATCTGCTAGTGGTGGGTTTGGGCTATTACAAATGGTATCAGAGTCAGACACCGGACAGTGTGCCAGCGAGGACGCTGGGTCCCGAAAGGGGGTGGATTGTGAGATCCCACATCGGTTGTAGGGGGAAACGAAGCATTCCTTATAAGGGTGTGGAAACCGCTCCATAGCAAATGCGTTTTAAAAACTTTGAGGGGAAAGCCTAAAGAGGACAATATCCACTAGAGGTGGGCTTGAGTTGCTACAATTGCTGTCCAAGGACATCAAGATCTGAAGTATTCATACGTTTAAATGTATATATTTTGTTTGTATTCCCGACTTATTTGTTTTAAGTACGAACTTATAATAAGTTCTTGAAACATTTGATAGATCATGATTATCAATCGGATGACGACGAACTTCTTGCCAAAGCAGTGCAAGAAAGCCTCAATCTCGACCCTCCTCCACAATATACAAATGGACATATGTATCAACCGTATATACCGCAATATCAATTCGGTTCGAGGTACTAATACTCACTTAACGAACTACATAACATTACATGCCGAAACCTCTACGTACAATATTTATCTCCATCTTTGCTTGCATTTGTTTGTTTTTGAACTTTCTTCTTTTCTTTGTTCGAGATGACATGTATTTTAACGAGTCCCGATTCTTGTTAGGATATGTGCGGGCTGCTACAATGAGATTGGCTATGGACGTTACTTGAACTGTCTCAACGCATTTTGGCATCCGGAATGTTTCCGGTGTCGTGCCTGCAACCTTCCTATTTCAGATTATGAGGTGAAAACTATTTTCTAAAACGTTCGAGAGCTATTTTTCTTGGCTCGAGCTCACACGACCTTTCTTCGTATAGTTTTCTACTTCTGGGAATTTTCCCTACCATAAATCTTGCTACAAGGAGAACTATCATCCAAAATGTGATGTTTGCAAGCACTTCGTAAGTACTTTTACTCGTGCTGTTTAGTTTTTTCTTCGAACGTCTACTTATAACCAATTGGTGTCGGGATTTGGGATACGTGTCCCACGAACAGATTCCGACGAATCCTGCTGGTCTTATTGAATACAGGGCACACCCTTTTTGGATCCAGAAATATTGTCCGTCTCATGAATATGATGCCACTCCACGATGTTGCAGCTGCGAACGAATGGAGGTCAGTGACATCGTTCTCTAAGTTCTTCAATAAAATCTCGGTTTCCATGATTTTTTGACGAAGTGGTGGACGTTTTATGTTTACTAGCCACAAGAGGTTAAGTATATTCCACTTCACGATGGTCGAAAGCTTTGCCTCGAGTGCCTCGACTCTACGATCATGGACACGAAAGAATGCCAACCTCTTTACTTTGAGATACAAGAATTTTATGATGGTTTGAATATGAAAGTAGAACAGGAAGTTCCATTGCTTTTGGTTGAAAGACAAGCACTAAATGAAGCAAGAGAAGGAGAAAAACATGTAACCAAACAACCTCTTCTCAGCTGTAATGTTTAATGTTGTCTGTTCTTTCCCCATTTTTAACTCTGAAACATGTTTTGTTCTGTGAATCTGTGTCGATTTTTCTCGTACTTGTTAGGGCCATTATCATATTCCCGAGACACGAGGGCTTTGTCTGTCGGAGGAACAAACCATTAGCACGGTAAGAATTTCGGCTCCTTTTTTGGTTATGAATCGAGTTGTTCATTGATCAAAGGCTAAAAATCTTACAGGTTTTAAGGCGACCTAGATACGAAAGGGGGAACCGAGTAACGAACATGATGTCGGAGCCCTATAAACTAACACGTCATTGTGAGGTCACGGCAATTCTCATCCTGTTTGGTCTTCCTAGGTATGTATTATCAATGGAAGTTTAGAACAAGATCCAAAATACTCGACATAATGGCGATATTGATTCTTGTGTATCGTCAACAGGTTACTTACGGGGTCGATTTTAGCTCATGAGATGATGCACGCATGGCTACGTCTTAAAGGTATGTTTCATGCAAATTTTCTTTGGCAATGACATTAATACACGTTCTCCCTGTTCTGTTGTTTGATATTCCGACACTCGTGCCATGATTTTTAAAGGTTTTCGAACTCTAAGTCAAGATGTCGAAGAAGGTATCTGTCAAGTTCTAGCACATATGTGGTTGAATACCGAGCTGATGTCTTGCCAAGACTATAACGATGTTGCGTCGACCTCGTACTCCGCTGCTCCCACGACATCGTCAAGAAGAAAAACAATGTCTAAATTTGAGAGAAAACTTGGAGAGTTCTTTAAACACCAAATAGAGTCCGACATGTCCCCAGTTTATGGAGACGGATTTAGAGCCGGGCAGATGGCCGTTCATAAATACGGTCTTCGGAGTACGCTCGATCATATTCAAATGACCGGTACCTTTCCTTATTGAAACTGGAGACGTGTACGTACCCGTAATCGATATCGATTCTTTAAATTTCTTCTTCATTTCTGTTCTTGGCCTTCCATATTTACAGCTAAGGCCAAATTCTTTGAAGGAATCCACTTTGTGCAGATTCATTTATTTGAATGCTTATGGTTCCACATTTGTCTCTGCCTCTGTTCTTCCTTCGAGTTCATCTCGGTCGCCATACGACAATGGCGACGGTTTTAGCTTCTGTAAACAATCCTGAATCTTTAGTAGAGTCGATACTACCTCTCCCATGCTCGGCCGCTGTTCTGGTTCTCGGTTCAAGCAGGCTGCACTTAGTTTAACCATCTGTAAACCAAACTCCATCTTCCCAGGTTCTTTAAGTTTCGAATCTAGAAACCGAGTTAGCCGAGATTCGACATTGTTTCCAATGGTGGGAATCATTGTTGTTGAAAGTAGAACCTCTCGTCCTCCTTCCCGAAAAACCGCCTCTTTTCGACTAACAAGCTCCAAAACCACCACTCCGAAAGCAAAGACATCAGTCTTTGGAGTTACGAGCCCCGCCTCCCGAGCCATGTAGCCCTTTGCCCCGACGAGATTTGTGGTCGAAACAGAGGCTGCTGTGGCTCTCTCTGTTACTCTTGCTAGACTGAAGTTCGAAAGTTTAGCTCGTAAATTGCTGTTGAGTAGGATATTGCTGCTGTTGATGTTGTTATGAACATAGGCTGGCTGTGTGAAGCTGTGAAGATAGTGAAGCCCGTTAGCGATGTCGAGAGCGATCTGTATCCTCGTCCTCCAGCTCCGTCTCTCTTTTCTGCTGCCTTTATCGAGCCATTCTCTTAGTGACCCGTTTTCCATGAACTCGAAAAGAAGGTAAAAATCGCCATTGTTTTCGCAAACGCCCTCGAGCTTCACCAGGTTGAAATGATGGATTTTCTTTAGAATGGTAACCTCTGTAATGGCGTCCATTGTGGTTCTTTTCACAGCTAGTTTCGTCTTCTTTTCGAACGTTCCTCGAAACACAGATTCATTTACTCTGTTCTTTGAACTGAATCTTCTCGTGGCTTTCGTTATCTCTTCGAACCTGAACACTTTCACAGCTCGCTCCATGCCTGCAATTTCGACCCGAATATCAGCTGGTGGTGTCCATTTTCTTATCATGTTGTCGTTCTTAGAAGTCATCCTTTTTGCTCTGGTATTGCGAATGAGAAAGACTACAAAAACGACGACAACAATGACTGCCATCAAGAAACCAACGCCTTTTGCGATATCGACGAAAATATGTCGTCTTTTCTCCGGTTGATCAGCGGTAGATGGTAATTTAATCTGTGAACTTGTTAGTTCGGTTGACAGTGGAATTAGAATCGTTGAAAATGGAAATAGATTTGGATCATCTTCCTCTTGAAACCCATTTGCTTCAAGAACACTCTTCTTGCTCACATTGAACCTCTCCCCAATTTCCAAAACCGTGTCGTCTTCGCCAACCAAATAAGCAACCAAATACTCGACCCCCTTCCGAGCCTGGTTCGTCGTTGGACAAGCACATCTAAGCGGCACGAGTAGTTTCAAACCAGCCCGGAGATCCAACTCATGGAACTTATTACCAAACTTAAGAGCTTGGCAAGTAGTAGATCCCTGATAAATCTCAGTGGCAACAAAGTAATAGGTTTGAGAATACGCTAGGACAAACGAGGCATTGGCTTGATAGAATCGGTCGATGCAAGAACAGTGAAGCGGAACGACGACCGCCGTGTCTGGCTTTAGAAGCGAGAAGACGGTGACATTGTTAGCTATGGCAATTTCATCTGGGTTTGAGGAGGTGAGATTGGAAATGGAAGGAACGGAATCATAGGGCGGTTTGGATTTGAAGATGAGGAAAGCCCGGCAAGAGCTTGCTCGGCCGTTGCAGGAGTAGAGCCCGAACGGCTCGGTATCGCCGCCGCAGCTGGGACGCGAGTAATTCTGCTGAGCAGTGATGAGTGAAGAAAGAAGAAGAAAGAAGGTGGAGAAGATTAGAGTCATAGTTGGTTGGTCGTTATTCGGATTAAGGATGAACTTGTTCTTGATTTGTGCTTAAACGAAGGTATTTAAGGGATTTGGAAACATTAATTAATGTAATTAAAGATAACCCGTGAAATTAATTTTTTAAACATTTTTTAAATTTGTCTTTTTTTGTTTAGAAGCTAATGGATGGATTTATATGTTCTTGGTAAGTTCGACTTTTATTTTATTTTTTCGTTCATTTAAAATATATTATGCAATGACTCAAGCTCACGGTTCGTCGATATTGTCTTTTTTGAGCTTCTCTTCAAGGTTTTAAAACGTGTTTACTAGAGAGAGGTTTTTACATCTTTATAAGGAATGTTTCGTTCCTCTCTCTCCAAACGGTGTGAGATCTCACAATCCACCCCCCTTAGGAGTCCAACGATCCGATGTCTGGCTTTGATACTGTTTGTAATGGCTCGAGCCTACTACTAGCAGATATTGTTTTATTTGGGTATTGTAAAATCTCACGTCGGTTGGAGAGGGGAAAAAAATATTTCTTATAAGGGTGTGGAACCTTTCCCGTGGACGTGTTTGGATATTGAGGATTTGGGTATTGTGAAATCCCACATCGGTTGGAGATGGAAAAAAAAAACATTTCTTATAAGGTATGGAAACTTTTCTTATAGACGTGTTTGGATATTGAGGATAAGGTCAGAAATGAAGCCCAAATAAGACAATATCTGCTAGCAGTGAAGCCCAAAGAAGACAATATCTACTGACATAAGCCCAAAAAAGACAATATCTGATGCCCAAAGAAGATAATATCTACTAGCAGCGATGCCCAAAGAAGACAATATCTGCTAGCACTGAAGTCCAAAGAAGAAAATATCTGCTAGCAGTGAAGCGCAAAGAAGACAATATCTGCTAGCAGTGAAGCCCAAAGAAGACAGTATCTGCTAGCAATATTTGCTAGTAGTGAAGTCCAAAGAAGAAAATATCTGCTAGCAGTGAATTGCAAAGAAGACAATATCTGCTAGTAGTGAAGCGCAAAGAAGACAATATCTGCTAGCAGTGAAGCGCAAAGAAGACAATATCTGCTAGCAGTGAAGCACAAAGAAGACAATATCTGCTAGCAGTGAAGCGCAAAGAAGACAATATCTGCTAGTAGTGAAGCGCAAAGAAGACAGTATCGGCTAGCAGTGAAGCGCAAAGAAGACAGTATCTGCTAGCAGTGAAGCCCAAAGAAGACAATATCTCGAGTAAAAAAATAGTACAATATATTGAAATTATAGTTGAACGAGAATGATCTTGAGCATACGTGCCCAATACGGCCCAGAGAAGGTTTTTTTTTTTTTTTTTTTAAATAAATATTTTATTGGTCAGAAGACAAGTGCTGTTTGGATGTCGTTATTAAGAATGCGTAACCCGGGTGAGAGGATATCATATACCCTGTTACCAACCACTCTCTCTCACCACCCAACTTGACAGTTCCCACATTGAATTCTCCACAATTATTTATTTATATTATTTTTAAAAAATTGGATATTTTTTTATTTTTTCAATATAAATTTTATTAAAAAAAATATCCATATATATATATATATATACACATCTATGTATATATGTATGTATATATACATGAACTTTGGGCACCTCAATTCAACTATATAAAGAGATAATTTGCGTTATTTTATAATTACTACTAGAGATATCTATTTAACTGCACGAACGAACGGTTTCAAATGGGGTGAAGAATGTTCGTTTAAACGGAAAATAAAGAGGAAATGAAGACAGATTTTTCTCGAAACAGGGATTACATTTCACGTCTCTGACCCTGCCTACCCCATCAAAATTTTCACCTCCGTTCACTTTTTACACACACAAAGTGTGAGAGACTATGTTCTAATATTAAAATTTGAGTCGGTAACATTATATTATATTTTTACTTACAAAATATTATTTAATTTATAAAATTTTACATTTTTTAAATAAAAATAATTATATTAGAAAATGAAAATTATCCATTAATAGTTATTAATAAATAAATAATTTTTAATAAAATATTAAAATGAGAATTTTTTTTAATGAAAAATCTAATTCCCGTGAATTCTCCACATTGAATCCCTGCATCGATCCCTACAAAAATAAAACGAGAATTTCATAGAAATGAAAACTAAAATAAGAGAAGCGTCTCCGTCCCCTCCACATCTCTAATTACCAATAAAACTCGAACCAATGATATATATATATATATATATATATATATTAAATTTATTGTTTTTTTGAAGAAATATTTTATTAGGGTATTATGAAATGGAATATTCGATTTTGTCTGATATAATTAAATTTATTTGGGAGGGAATAATATTGGAATAAAAGTAATTATTATTGGGGAATTAAAGGGGAATCGGGTGGGAAGCTACCTTTCATCCTCTTTTGCACTCCAATTATGCACTTACCCTAATTGATTAAGCAATTATATTAAATTAAAATACAATAATTTCCCCCCTTCTTTTTTTTATATATTTTTTTAAATTCAAATTTAACCTAATTTTTTTAAAAAAATTAATTTATCTTTCACGTTTTTTCAGTTATACCGGAACTCTAGCTGCGGACCTTCCCAATTACAAAAGTCAAGCTTGACTCGGCTTCATTTATCTTAGAGAAAATCCTCCAACTCACGTCTGAAGTTGTTGCCGAGCTTCTTGTTTCTTGGCATCTTCTCGTTATTCTTCATCTTCACGTCCAACTTTGTCTGACATTCGACTTAAAATCTTGCAATCAGCTCATGCCTCAACATATGCAACTTTGATTAAGTTTTGATTGAACGTTTTGTCTTCTCGATTTTTTGGGATGGCAATCGTTCAATGTTCTACGACTCATCTCCTTCAATCATTAACCACAACACCACGACTAGGATTGACATCGATGGGTTGGATTTCTTGTTTCAATTCTTCGCTTCAATACATACCTTTTGAAGTGGGTGACATCGACGCTCTGGTAGATCTACATGCACTCGAGAGAGAGAGTGAGCGTCACCATTGGATTACATGCAACACAAGAAGGACACGAACCCTGCAACTGGAATTACTTAGACCATTTCACCAGTCTAGTTTAAATGGTTCAATTTAGTCTGCTTCAACTTTAAATCCCGTCTCAACAAAAAAAAAATGATTTTTTTCCAAATTAATAATCCAAAAAAATTGATTATATCAAAATCTATGCTATATAACCTTTCAAAGACATAAAATTGATCATACATTATAACTTCCCTTTTTAAAAATACATTATTTCTCTGTTTCCGGCCAATTATAACTTCTCCGACGCCTTCCCCTGTAATCTTTAAACCCCAAACCCTTTTCACCAGCTTCAACCAATCATGAATCCAACGAAAATGGAGTCTGCAACAGATCATAAGGGACCCACAGAGAGTCCAACGGACACGGCCGGTTCGCATCCACCCGGGCCCATGGCTTCCCCTTTCCACTCCAGTGCAACAGGCTCACCGGACCCGGGTGTAGATCCCGGCAGAGTCCCCGGAAATTATCCCCGCCGAGGCCGTGCTGGTTCCACCGGTGGTCGACGGGGACGATGTTTCCAGCGAAAACAAGCATGAATGGCGGTAGAGATCCAAGCTCGTAGATCCTCATTCTCTTCTGAAGCTCCATCCATTCTTCGATTTCGGCGGTGAAGTCGCCGAGGCGCCACCGGGAGAGATCGATGACCATGACACCGGTATTGAAGTAACAGGGGTTGCGATTGGCGAAGGTGAGAGATAGAGAGGGATTGGACCAGAAAGTGGGAGTGAAATAGGCCGTGAAATTGGCGTTGCAGTACTCAGGGGCAGCGAGGACGGCGTCGTTAAGAGGAGTGTTGGCGAGGTTAGCGATGTCGTCGACGAGGATTATATCGGAATCGAGATAGACAACACGGCGAACGCAGAGGGGGAGGAGGTCAGCCAAGTAGCTACGAGCATAGTTCAATGGACAATCCAAGGCAGAGCGGATGGAGGTGGAGATCAAACGGGACACGGCGACATCGTCGAAGGGGTAGATTTTGAATTTAAGATAAGGAAAGGAGGAGGAAATGGTGGCGTGGAGAGACAGAGCATTTGCAGAAGCAGAGGAAACAAAATGGAAGATTACATTTTGGGGACAGGGTGAATGTTGCAGAACGGAGAGGATCGCCGCCATGGAGCCCCGGATGTAAGCCGTGTCCAATGTCATTGCAACGTGGACGCCATCGTCGGAGCAGAGACGATGGCCATCTTCCTCACCCTCGAAAACAGAGGGGCAGTCAGGGGAGTTGTAGAATTGGGGTGCCTCCTTGAATAGAACGGTGGCATTGACGGCAGTTAAGGAGAAAATGAAGAAGAGAAGAGCGGCCCGAGGTTTAAACATGGCGGCGGCCGGCGAGAGGAAGTGAGGAAGGAGGAAAGGTAAGAGATGGGTTTTTATGTGTATGGTGAGAATGAGAGAGATGGTGACCGGCCGGTGGTGAGTAGCTTTAGCTTTCAAATGGGGTTTCAGAAAATATTCCAACAACAACAACGAGCTCTTCATAGATTAAATTTTAATTAAGAAGTATGATGTTACAATTAATAGAAAAGGGGCATCCTCAGCAAGTTCCATATTGTCTGGTCTTCAAAAAGATGAACAATAACCAACCAACAGCTAAAAATAAATAACCCGTAGCGCGTCAACTACCATACCCCAAAATCGAACTATTCGGAGTCCTTCCGAATGACCTCTCATGGAGTCTGCTACACTTGCCAAGAAAGAGTGTATTAGATTCCATTCGTCCATGGTGGTGAGTAGAGGAAGAATAAGAAAAGAGAAAGGTATTGCAACGAAGAAATAGTTACCCGTTCATAAATTCAGTTGACCACTTGTTAGTCTTGCTAAAACTACACGACACGAGTGACGGGTGAAGTTAAAGTGATTCACACCATATGGAAATAAGAAAAAAAAACGGAGAGAAGGGTCTCACTCACGTAGCTCCTACAAGGTAACGACTTCAAACTCAAACAAAGAACGTTCTTCTCCAAGGCACCTAAATGCAAACCTTTGCCAATTGAACACTACGAGCGACATCACTATATTATAAGTTCAGCTGATATCTAACATCAATAGCAAGCACCTACCCTTTTTCTCTGCATTCTTCTGATAAACATGGTCAAGTACCATCCAGCTTAAAGATCACCTGCTTCTGTTAGGTCATTCCCTATAAATCAAACAAAAAATATCTTGAAAGCCACAATCACTGACCTACTAGTTCCCAACATGGTATCAAGGGGTGATGATCCTGATCCTTGCCCTGCTCTTCGATCAGAACGACGTATTTCACGAACCTAGTGCAAGACTGAAGTTCAAAAATAAACCAAACTGGAATCGAAGACTTGAGAAAACGAAACAAATACTGAGATAGAATTGAAATAATGAACATGGATAGAACCATAGCTAAACAAAATCTGATGAACAAGTTTCTGGTAGTACCATGTGCAGCAGAAACCCATCTGTATATTCTGAACTTCTTCACCAAAAAACAGGAAACACATATCACAAGTAGTGCATAAAGTAAGAGCACTAGAGAAATCACTTAGGCAAATAAATCATCTTTCGAGAGAACGAGCCATCACAGCACGTGTTTCATTCACTCAGCCAAGTGATTGCATTTGGTGGGTCAGCATGTCAATGTAGTATATATAGATGTGAATAAATTGAAACCTTCGAATACAATTGCATAAGCACGTCAGCTAACGTTCATCGTGCTAAGTATACAAAAGTAGATGTTCATTTCAATAATGATGAGACAGCAAGACAATGTACCATCGGATTTTTTTCACTTCTATAATTCTTACATTAGAGATTGAATACACTAAACACCACAAAGCAATAATATATGCCCTAATGGACCCTTTGATCTATTGCCAGATTAGGGCAAGAAGAACACAGAAACCAATAAAAAAAAGCAGCCGCTTCAGGTAGTAATCTTGCTGACCTTGACGGAGATGGTGATAGTATCCATGAGCATGAGCATGGCCATGGCCATGGCTACCATGAAACATGTTAGGAAACCCATATGGAAAGTTAGCACCTGCACCATACATGCTTGGATCTGCATATCCATGCATCTGAAAGTTGAACAAAGATGGGACAAGACCACCAAAAGCCGCAGACAATGTGAAATTACCAAACCTTGTTGATGCCATTGGAGCAAACCCTCCAAGACCTCCCATGAATCCAAATCCATTGTGAGCAAAAGGATTTGGCTCTGGGGGAGGGCCTGCTGCTTCAGGTCTCTGTCCCGCAGGACGATTAGGAATATTAACTCCCGGAATACTTTTCGACCTCGGGTCAGTCGACGTCTTTCCCCTACCATATAAGGGAACCAATTTTTGCTCTTCTATCATAGCTTTACAAACTGGACATTCCTGGGGATGGGAATGAATGTGCAGCCACTTGTAAAGGCATGGCCAACAAAAAAGATGACCACATAGGGTTACAATAGGATCTTGAGCTAAATCCAGGCAAATATTACACTCAAAATTACTAGCATCACCATTGTTGTCGGAACACGAAGGGCTTTGAGGTTGCCTACTTGTTGATTCCCCGAATCCGCTCGCCATATCTACACACCCTACCTATTAAATCACATTAAACCACAAAACTGAGATGAAATCCACGAAAGTCATCAGAAAAATTCATCGGGATCGGAAATATTCCTTCAACCAGCCAAAACCAATGGACGAACTCAATGAGAATCAACAATCTTAACAACGGATCGCCTAGACGAACAATCCAAACGATAAATTTACAACAAAATCTTCAATCCTAGGGTTTCAAAATCCCCAAACAGAAACCAACAGAATCAAATCCAACGCGAACAATTCAACAAAAAGTTGGGGAAAAAAAACACAGAAATGAAAATACAATTACGAAAAGAATTAGAAAAATGAAAAAACTCACCTATTGATTGACAAGAACAAACCGGCCGATCCCGCGTTCCGATCGATGAAGAAGAAAAATTGACGAACGCGTCTGTCAGGAAAGCAAGAAATATACATTCGAAAACGGAAGCTTCCGCACCCTTGCCCTAAACATTATTCACTGCGTCCGTCTTCGCATTTTCTCCGTGTTTCTCGTCACTTATTCCCACGTGTCGTAATATTACTGGTTATTCCTAGTCAACAGTCAACACCTGCCGTCCGACGTGGAAAAACTAGGGATAAATTCATTTTTTAAGTCCTAAACTTTCATGGTAACAACTTTATTTATTCACATTAATTTTAAAAGATAATTATAATAAAGACAAATTCTTTTTATCATATTTATAAATATATTATACAAATAAATAATTTGTAAATATACCCGAATAAAAGAGAGGTACATAAATAAACCATAACCGAACGAAAGGGATCATGAAAATATGATAGTTATGAAAGGCTTAAAAAATTGAAAGTCACTACTTATTTCAACAAGATATACCTTCTCGGTGGCTCAATTATATGAGCAATTCTATATTAGGTAACCTCTTCGGGAACTGTTTTATAATGCATGTGAGTGAAAATAGTCTTCGCTCTTAGAAGCGAGAAGTAACCTTGTGGGGATAGTCTCAGTCTTAGAAGTGAAGAGTAAGCACCGTGACCATGAAGAATGTCGGTGCCGTTAAGTGCTGCATTGAATCCTTATCCAAATCCTAGACATGGGTGGTTTCACTTCTTCCATCACTTCCATTCAAATCAATTAAAGATGGCGTTAAAAATAAAACCTTAAATTGGGTGGACTTGGTTTGAATGGTTGGGATTATTTATTCAATTTTTTTTTTAATAAAATTAAAATATTAACGTCTATTTATTTATTTTAAAACATTTAGTTGAAATTTATAACTAAATTTTAAGGCGTATTTTAAAAATTACTTTCTAAATAATTAAAATTTATTTTAAAGAGTAATTAGAGCATAAATAATCAAAAATATTAAAAATAAAATAAATATATTATAATTATTATACTATAAAACTCCTTTATTTCATTGAATTCTTCACATCGTGGAGACCCATCTTTCTTAAAGACAAACCTACCCCCGGACAAATATCGATTTTGGTCCCTACTTCATTATGTGTGCAGGGTAAATCTGTAAATGACGTACGGTGCCGCAGAATTGTCGGTGGTTTGTCCTTCAAAAGTCAACCTAAAAAACAAATTCATTTTTTTTTATTTTTTATTTTTTTTGTTAAAAAATTAAATAGTTATGAAATAAATAAATAAATAAAATATACCATTTTAATTTAAATATAAATTATATGTATAATATTCCAACCACGTTATTTCGAAAAATATTTTTTATAAAATTTATTTACAGAACGCTTCGAATTAAAAGGTAAAACAAACACTTAATCATAAAGTTCTTATTAATGAGTCACCGAAAAGGAATATGCACTGTGTTCATATAGATATTTTTTAGTCAATATTTTCTTACTTATTTTATTCAGATTGGGGTGTGCAGTAGTCGTTAACGTGATAGAACAAGGGTATTTTAGTCACTTTACAATATCAGAAAATTTGTACGGAAGTTACTACTTAAAAAATCTTATTAAAATAACTTTTTTTCAAACAAATATTTGAATTTTTTTGTTGGTGTCCGTCGTTCCCGTTCTAACTTAGTTTTTAATTAATTCATCGTAAAATAAAGACTCTAAATTCCTTTTTTTAATATAAAGTCGAGAATAATAATAATATAATCGAATTAAAATGGCTAAAATAAAATAAAAAATAATATATTTTTTGGAATATTCCATTAAAAAAATAATAAATATTACAAAAATAATGTTAGTATATTGAAGTCAACGCTTTAAATCTTACCATATGGTATTATTTTTCCTATATATAAAAATTATTTAAAAGAAAAAAAAATATTATTTTATTATAAAATCCAAAATGTTACCTAACCAGAGTTAAATCTCGGGTTAAAATCTGTTTAATTAGTTTGGAAGTAAATTTTCTTCCAGAAGTAGCAGCCACATCTTCGTCCCCTACCTATCGTCAATCTGTAAAAAACCATGGAGATTTCGATTTTCCATTTCTGATTTCTTCAGTAATCTCTGTTTCAACTTCTCTCTCCTCCTTTAATCCTCTCTCTCTCTCTCTCTCCTGTTTCTTGTCGATTTCACCATTTTTCCCGCTCCCTGTTCCATTACTTTGGATAAGAGCACACACAGTTCCACTTGCTGGAGGGATTTGAGGAGGAGAGACGACCGGAACAATATTTTCGTCTCTTTTGATTCTAAGGTAATTCTTGCTCTTTGTAGTTGTAGATCTGTAATGCGATTTAACAACACGCTGCAAATTGTTCGTGTTTCTGAAATTGGAATCTGCTTTTGCCTTTTGGAAAGATTCTGTTGGAATTTTGGTTGCTTTTTGTGTTTTCGTCTTTTGATTTCGTTGGATTTGATTAAGAAATTGCGAATCTCTCAAGGTATGGTAAATGTGTGTTTGTTTGCAGCATTTTTTAGGAGGGGGAAATCTTTTGAATCGGTGTTCTTGGAAGAATGGATGTTTCTACGCCTCTGCAATCTGATAATACACAAAAACAGAAATCTCTTAGTCCGATTAGGCTGATGAGAGGGGCGATTTGTTTAGCGGTGTTTTTGTCGACTGCCTGTATGTTTTTAGTGTATTTTGCGCCTGTAGTGGCTCTCTTTTTACGGCTTCTCAGCCGGCATTACTGTCGGAAGGCAACTTCCACGATTTTTGGTTTCTGGCTGGCTCTCTGGCCCTTTCTATTTGAAGTTATAAATGGGACTAAAGTTGTGTTATATGGAGATGATGTTCCAGATAATGAACGTGTTTTGCTAATTGCTAACCACAGAACTGAAGTTGATTGGATGTATTTGTGGGATATTGCATTGCGAAAGGGCTCCCTTGGCTGCATCAAATACATCCTTAAAAGCAGCTTAATGAAGCTGCCTCTCTTTGGTTGGGGATTCCATGTTTTGGAGTTCATTCCAGTTGAGAGGAAATGGGACATCGATGAACGGGTTATGCGTCGAAAGCTTTCGACGTTTAGAAATCCTCAAGATCCCTTGTGGCTTGCTGTTTTTCCTGAGGGAACTGACTTTACGTATACCTTCCATTCCTTTTCTACTGTATTCCAATTGTGTTTTCCCTGATCTAGAAGCTAGTTTTTGTGGATTGAAAGCTTATCTTGTGTTCTTGATGTTCTGTCCAAGTTGGGAACTGATACGAAAAGTTTGATGCAGGGAGGCGAAATGCAAGAAGAGTCGAGCGTATGCTGCCGAGGTCGGACTTCCGGTGCTAAAGAATGTTCTTCTTCCAAAAACTAGAGGTTTTTGTGTTTGCTTACAAACCCTGCGAGGTTCACTTAATGCAGGTTCATTTCTGCAAATTACTCTCTTCACTTTCTAGTCTGAACTGATTGTGTTTATTACCATAGCTTCTGGTCTGGTTTTGTTATGCAGTTTATGATATGACTATTGCCTACAAGCATCAGTGTCCTACCTTTCTGGATAATGTCTTTGGTCTCGGCCCTTCAGAAGTTCATATCCATGTTCGACGGATCCCCGTCGACGAGATCGTCGCTTCAGATGAAGGTGCTACTGCTTGGTTAACGGATAAATTCAAGCTCAAGGATCACTTGCTCTCAGATTTCATAGCTAATGGCTGTTTCCCAGAGCCAAGAGTACAAGAACAACTTTCTGCCTTCAAGTGCTCAATGAACTTCTTACTGGTCATTTCCTTGACTGCAATATTTGCTTACCTTACTTTCTATTCATTTTGGTCCAAAGTTTATGTAGCTTTATCTTGTATATATCTTGCTTCCGTTACGTATCTTCGAGTTCAACCGGAGCACGATTTAGGCAGTTTGATATCAATGTTCGTCGGCAAGAAACATAGCACTGAATAACATTCTTTTAGGATACATGATTTTTTTTTTTTTTTTGGCTTAGATTGGAATCGAGTTTTCGTGTAAACGTCTGAGTATTAACAATTTCGATTTATGGTCCCCATGAGCAAAGATGGCCAGAAATAAGTTACTGAAATCTTTGCTTCTCTAGATTCTACTCTCTTTGTCTATGAATGGACAGGCAGAATCTGAGCACAAAAGTGTGCTTGTGGCTATATTACCTGCTCAGCTCTTTCTCATTTGCTTGTCTTTTTCCTTCCATATTTCATCACTCGATGATTTGTCGTTTTATTCTCGAAACCACATGCATGTACGATGTGAGATTTCGGTCTCTTGAAGGAGACCCCATTTCAGAATTTCAACTCTAAACTTGCCCAAATCTCATCTTATGATGATATCAAGATCAGTACTTGTGTGAGCATTGGTTAGAAAAGAGAACGAAACATTTTTCATAAAAGTGTGAAAACCTCTTCCTAGCAAACGCGTTTTGAAAACCTCGCTAGCAGCGAGTCAACGAGGACATTGAGCCCCGAAGGAGGGTGGACATCGGGCTGTCGGTGAAGACATTGGGTCCTGAAGGGGGTGGACACCGGCGAGTCAATGAGGACACTGATTCAGGGCATGGATGGTGAGATCCCACGTTGATTAGAGCAAGAAACAAGATAGTCAAGTTCTTTTGTTGTCTCTCCTCTACGTTCTTAAACTTTTTTCGATCGGTCCAAACGAACCCAGATTAATATCATAAAATTGGGACTCGGGACTCGCTACGAGTTCTCGAAAAGCAACAAAGAGTTGGTCATAAGAGAAAGAAGATACTAAAAAAGTAACCTTTTTTTTTTTTTTCATTTTTTCACTCTTTCAAAGGCCTTCGGCCAGTTTATGTTATACATGAACAAAGCTTTTCCACCTTTTTTTTCCTCATGGATTCATACACTTACAAATTCTCTCTCTACAAATAGCTTTCATCTTTGAAAGCCTAAAGCTTTTAAAACTTCTCAGCCCATTTTTTACCTTAAATCATTTTGGGCTAAGCACAACTAAGACCTAAATCTATGGCATTTGTAGTGCCAACTCTATCCTAAGTTAAAATTACAGACCAAAAGAAAATGACCCTACTACAAGTAACTATTTTACAGATGTTCCTTTCGAGGAGCTGTTACTTACGAATAAGTTACTGCGTAGTCGATTAAACCACGACAATTTGATCTCACCGGACCCCGTGCACTGCCCTTCGCCTTCCTCCTCGCTGCTGAAGAGAGTCTGATCAGAGCAGTCGAGTGATGCCCCACAAGCGAGATTGTACGACTGACAAGCTGAATGGCATACTCGGAGTCTGTTGTCACCGTCTTCGTCGCACTTTTGTATCGAGATCTGAATATGAAAAGTGCAATTTTAGAATAGATGAGGTCCATTTCATGAAAGGCTAAGTCCAATGTCATGAAAATGTAACCGTCCACTGGTAGATATTGTTCTCTTTCGATTTCTCTTTCGGGCTTTCCCTCGTGGTTTTAAAACACGTCTATTAGGGAGAGGTTTCCACACCCTTATAAGGAATGTTTTGTTCCCCTCTCCAACTGATGTGGGATCTTACAATCCACCCCTCCTTGTTGGCACACCGCCCACTGGCTGGCTCTGATACTATTAGTAATAGCTCAAACCCACCGCTAGCAGATATTGTCCTCTTTGAGCTTTCCCTTTCGGGTTTCCCCCCAAGGTTTTTAGAACGCGTCTATCAGGGAGAGGTTTTCACTCTTACAAGGAATGTTTCGTTTCCTTCTCTAACCGATGTGGGATCTCATAATCCACCCTCCTTGGAGGCTCAGTGTCCTCACTAGCACACCGCTCAATGACTAGCTCTGATACCATTTGTAACGACTCAAGCCCACCGCTGGCAGATATTATCCTTTTTAGACTTTCCCTCATGGTTTTTAAAACGCGTCTGCTAGGGAGAGGTTTTCACACACTTATAAAGAATGTTTCGTTCTCCTCCCCAACCGATGTGGAATCTCACAGAAAAAGTGCATATAGGGTGTTTTGAAGAGGTAGACCACTTACCCAGCAAGCCAGCTGCTTTGCAGCTGCATCGCAGTAGCTACCGCCGAAGATGTTAAAAAGTTTCCGGGCACCACTGGGAAACAAACGGTGGTAGTTTGGCATGACGACAACTTCCTCGAGCTGCTGTAGAATACTGGGTTCGCTCGGCGCACAATGTTGGCCAGTCATATCCCTTTGCAGTACATTTTTGCAAACGGAGAGACTCGATAGAAGCCTGGAGCTGCTCTGGCACGAATAGCCAGCATAATCCGAACATCGGAATTCGCAAACGCCATTGTCACAGACACCTCCATGGAGGCTACATTGCTCATCACAAATAGCTGAGATCATAACAGAAATGTTTTTTCAAGTTACAATTACAAAGAACAATGCAAGAAACAATATCTACCACAAGACCCAACACAAGTTCATGAAAGAATCTTTTATCTTCCATTTTTTAATACCCGAGGACATTAGATGTCGTAGAATATCGATTATGCAAGTGTAACAGCCCAAGCCCACCGCTAGCAGATATTGTCCGTTTTGACCTGTTACGTAGTCTCACGGTTCTAAAACGCGTATGCTAGAGAGAGATTTCCACACTCTTATAAGAAATGTTTCGTTCCTCTCTCCAACCGATGTGGAATCTATTATTAAGCAAACATGAACGTTTAAAAAGTTCGAAGACGTCAGAAGAGAACGTACCGGTGGAGCAGTCGATGCCCGTGTAACCATTTCCACATTCACAAAGTCCATTAGAAAGACACCTCCCATGACCACTACAGTTATTAGGACAAGATCCTGCAATATATATCCATTTGACTTAACTAATAAGTAAAACCGAGCAAAAACGTCGATCATAAAAGGAACTAATCCGGGAACCAGACGCTCACGTTTGCTACAATCATGTCCATGATAGCCTAGAAAGCAAAAACACTTCCCGTTTACACAATCTCCGTTGAAATTGCAAGTATTCGGGCACTTTCCAGGCACCGAAACTAAGTCTTTGCTACAAAGTTCGTGATATGCAGGGCAGACTAGTTCACCTACACGAAAAAAGTCGAATAGATCGTTAAATTTGTACGACATAAATCGTTCCCAAAACGGTCAGAGTATAAGGGTAAGCACTTGCCATTAAAGCCAGGGAACTGAACTGGTCCACCAGCTTGAGGGCATAGTTTCCACATACCATCAACAGCTACCTAAAAGAACACGAATCAATCAGAATGGTATCGATCGTTTAGCAAAGAAATTCTTTACACAAGCCCACCGCTAGCAGATATTCTCCTATTTGGGCTTTCCCTTTCGGGCTTCGCCTCAAGGTTTTTAAAACACGTCTATTAGGGAGAGGTTCCACACCCTTATAAAGGGTGCTTTGTTCTCCTCGCCAACCGATGTGGGATCTCACAATCCACCCCCTTCAGGGCCCAGCTTCCTCGCTGACACTCGTTCCTTTCTCCAATCGATGTGGGACCCACCAAATCCGCCCAGCGTCCTTACTGAAACACCGCCTCGTGTCTCTCCCCCTTCGGGGAACAACCTCCTCGCAGGCACATCGTCCGGTGTCTGGCTCTGATACCATTTGTAACAGCCCAAGCCCACCGCTAGCAGATATTGTCCTCTTCGGGCTTTCCCTTTCGGGCTTCCCCTCAAGGTTTTTAAAACGCGTCTACTAGAAAGAGGTTTCCACACCCTTGTAAAGGGTGTTTTGTTCTCCTCCCCAACCGATGTGGGATCTCACAGAAAGAGTTTGTATAAACGAAGTTAGCTAGGAACTCATCGTGTGTGCCGATGTTATTATAAATAACATCATGGGTATGATTAGAACGCAAAAACTCCCGAATTACCTCCAACGAATTGTTAATGCATCGATGCTGATAACAACCGTTTCCTTGGGTCATCGAACCTCTTACAAACCCAGTCCTGACTAAGGATGAGGCCATACACCTGCATATCCATTTGAAGAGTCGTTACCAACAAGAATATACAAACCCAGAGAGCACGTGAACCGTAATCAGTCTTACCTTGAGTTACTTCCTCGAACTTCACCCAACATTCTATCAGGCACGCGAGCACTGTTGGTGTCGGTGCACGATCCATCCGAGTAAGCCACAAGGTACGTACAATAATCAGCCAATAACGATTGTCCACCTATACGAATTCACAGAAACGGATTTCCAACTTAAAACATTTGCAAATCATGTCATCTTATACCAGCATATGCAATTGTTTGTACTCACCTTTGTTAGGTTGGGGAAAATATTGAGCCCATTGAGGGAGATCCCCACTATAGCTAACAATTGGACAGTAACCCTCTGCCTCCCTATTATATGTACATCCCGACAACTGTGTCGTGTTGCAATGGTATGCCCCCTTCCAGAGGTTGCACGGGGACATGACGAAATCATTTCCTTGATTGCGACCCCAATCGAGACGATCTGCCATGCTATAGTTAGCCTGGTACCATCCACTGTCTTCCAATAAAGCCAGCGTCATTTTCGAGACGACAGATCTCGTATCAACCGAACCAGTCATTATTTCGTTCATCAAAAGCCTCTTTTCCCAGTGAGAGCCTGAAAGTAAAATATTAAGTATATAGGTCAAGTAAACCGTGCAGGGTCATAGAGAACTCGGTGGGGGCAAGGATAGGATAAAAGTAGCAGAAAAAACGAGAGTAGAACCTGAAGTGCCACGCCCTCCTCCATCTTCTAGCTCTAAACCCGTGAAATTCTCCGAAAACGCCTGCCAAGGAACATAGTCGGCTTGGTTATTTAGTATACGAGAGTTATCAATTCACAAAGACGAACTCTAAATAGTTACAGAAGAAACACTCACCCCATAATGATATCGTGAATGCATAACAACACGTGGAAGAACCACCCGAGTTACTGTACGCCCGAGTCGTTCATCCAAGACCTGTTCTGTTACCTGACATATATACATGAATTAAATGGTTAATTCCATGTAATACAATAACCGTTTAAACGTTCTTAGCTAGTTTTCCTTCATCAAGTCACCAGCACGAGATATAGTTTACCTGACTACGCCTTCTTTTCCTCTCATCTCTGAAATGGGCAAAGGCGTGTGGATCGAAACCAAGGACATGCATAACCTGT